TTTCTCTTATGGGGATCGAAGTTGTAACCCCATACGTTGAAGACAGTACTCTTCACTTTAATTCTGAAAGGTTGGGAGATTACCTCATCAAGATGACTATGCTTATAAATGACCTCTTGCTAGACTAACGAATAGTGAATTAATTCTAGTAGTAAGTCAGTTTCTCATTAATTGTTAATGACGATTATTATAATAGAACCAAACCTAACAGAAAGATGTATAGTTTTACCAAATACATTTCCTAGAGTTATGGCTTTACCTGGCTTCAATGCTGAAAGTGATGGCTAAACTCTTCTAAAATGAAAATTAAAGCATTGAAATTGTCCAGTCTTCAAAATCGTCTAAGTCATTGCCGTTTTTGTTGACGGACTCACTCTATACTTTCTTTTGTTTTATTAACGTGGCCAGAGCATCTAACCTATATTTTTTTCTTACTGTATGGGCTTCTAGGTTAATTAGTAAAAATTTTTTGTTTAGTTCTTTAGTTTTGTTTTTATCCCAATTTAAAAATGAAAGAACAGGACGTGCACTTCCGGCACATTTTATTGTATTACTTCCGAAAAGGCAAGAACGTATCGCAAGCACAAAAGAAGTTATGTGCCGTATATGGAGATGAAGCCTTAAAAGAAAGGCAGTGTCGAAATTGGTTTGAAAGATTTCGTTCCGGTGATTTTTCACTGAAAAATTCACAACGATCCGGCCGCCCAGTCGAAGTGGATGAAACCCATATCAAGGCCATTATCGATTCAAATCGTCACAGCACAATACGAGATATTGCAGAGAAGCTCAATGTGTCGCATACATGCATTGAAAAAAAAATTAAAAACCCTTGGTTATGTCAAGAAACTTGATTTATGGATCCCTCACCAGTTAAAGGAAATTCATTTGACGCAACGGATTAGCATCTGTGATTCGCCGCTACTGAAACGCAATGAGAATGATCCATTTCTGAAGAACCTAGTTACTGGCGACGAAAAGTGGATAGTTTAAAACAATGTTACTCGCAAGAGATCATGGGTGAAGCAAGATCAACCAACCCAAACAGTATCAAAAGCAGAGATTCACCAAAAAAAAGATTATGCTGTCAGTCTGGTGGGGGATCACAAAGGAATTTTGTATTTTGAACTCATGCCACAGAACCAAACGATAAATTCAAATGTGTATGTTGAAGAACTCGAAAAACTGAAGGAGGCAATTGAAGATAAGCGGCCGGCATTGTCAAATCGGAAGGGTGTTGTTTTCCATCATGATAACGCAAGGCCCCACACATCTTTGGTTACTCGGCAAAAATTATTGGAACTGGGTTGGGATGTTTTGTCACACCCACCATATAGCCCTCACCTTGCGCCTTCGGATTACCATTTGTTTCGTTCCATGCAAAACTCTTTAAATGGTCAAATTTTTAACAACGCGGATGATGTCGGATCACACCTAATTCAGTTTTTTAATAGCAAAGACCAGACATTTTACGAACGGGGAATTTGTACTCTGCCAGAACGATGGAAAAAGGTCACAGACAAGAACGGCCAATATCTAATTGAATAAAGTTATATTTTTAAACAAAAATTCCGAATTCGCCTTCTTATTTGAAATCGGCAATGACTTAGTTGCCAACCTAATTGATGTGAACTTTATTTTTACCGTCAGGCGATTCAAAGTTGAGTAGTAAAACAAGTACCATGACGCTACCATCATAAGTTATCTAATATCGTACCTCTGTCGCAAACAGTTTTCAGCTAATAGTTTAGTATAACTTACGATATTACAGAAGAAATCGAGTTTTAATCGCGTAAATAAAAGATTTAATTCTGTCACAGAATTCCACCACCCTTCACATAACAAAACGGTGACCTGAAAAATTTAATACGTTACCTCGACGTCTAATTGGTGCGCATTATACCTCATCGAGTTTATATGCCTCAGAATTGGCGAAATTTAATTATCAAACAATCTACAGCGTGTTAAACAGGAAGACTCCAGAGCTGTTAAGCCAATTTATGCGAAGACTGCTAGCAGATCGAAATTGGCACATCTGTTAGTTCTATGTAAGTCGCATTTTAATTGAGGTTAGAATAATTAGCTAACATGTTAAAAGTACTTTTCCATATTTCTACGTTGTTCTGACATTATAATAACCTAAAAGTCGGCGGATATAGTAACATTTTAGCTAGATTCAAATATGAAAATAATATTGAAACATTTTCGCCTTGTTAACATTAGTAATTGTCTATCTAATTATCGCATTAGTCTCGGTTTCTTTAGTATGTTATAGAGACCACTTTCTCCTAACTTAGTGTAAATCTTTACTATATTTATATGGCTAGTCAACACTATATGGAAAATCGATGCATTGTTTTTCGCAGCTTCAGTATCATCAGAGTCTCAAGCACTGTTGACGAAAGTGCACATCCTCGACTGAAAGTTCATTTTTAAATTCGTTTCAGATAGGGTATATATATGAGATAATCGCATTCATGTGAATAAAGAGCGTTGTGGTTTACTCGCATCACTATTTAGCTATTCAGTTTTTCTTCTTCTGAGAGGCGGTACGTGTTTACATGAGTACTCGTAATCGATTACTTGTTAGATTTGCATGACGTGTGAGAGGAAGACTATGAATTGTCTTTCTAATTAGTAGTTGTAAAGTACCTCTCCTGGGTTTGTACGCAAATGACTTATTCTTGCTACGCGTGGATATATTTACACACTTAGAGAGAGAGAGAGAGAGTTGGGTAAGACTAGGTTAGCGCGTAGATAGAATAGCATTGATTGCTTTTTTGTATAAGAATGTAGTAGTCAATAGGTTTGCCCCTTTCAAGGACAACTAACTTATGAGGAACATGCATGTGCGTCGTGCTCCTGCCTCCAGGTATACGTACGCGCGTAATGTGCGTGTGTGTTCATCTTCACGCGTGCACAGTTTAATTTAACGTGCGTAGTGTGGAAACCTACGCGTCCAGAGACGCACGTTAGCACGGAAGCGCGCGACCACTTGACCAGTCACATTGCCTTAACATATGCGTTAATGCTACGCGCTACCCGAGAGCACATGGCCCCTTCACAGCATTTTTGTTGCGTGTTTATTTTTCTGCTTTGGTGTCTGACACGCGCGCGTATGCGAATACGAAGAGTCATTAACAGTCATCGTTGTATTTAAGGCTGATCACTCCTTTCCAACCTATCAATCATCAATCAAGCTGGAGCCCTCCTTTTTGGATTTTATGCGACGATAGCACTGGCACATTGGAATTTATTACTCTGGATTAATGTTTCTACCTCTAACAATCACCTGTTCTGACGAGGATTATTGCCGAAATTCCTGAGGTAAGTGTATTCTTCGCCAAGCCTCCTTCAATTTCGATCGCAAATCACCATCAAATTGCCTGCAAATATTATGCTAATTCTCATTTTATTCATATTTTTCTACATTAAAAGGCCTGCTAGTTATGTATACGCCTAGGGATCGATTTGAGGACTTTCATTAAATACACAAAAGAGCGATTATCTGTGCCAAAATTAAAGCTTTTAGCGATAGGAGCGAGCTAATGATTTGTCTAAATCCACGATGGCCAAACAGTAGGCGTGCATCTAACAGAAGAGGGAAGCAAAGGAGACGAAAACTGGTTGAAGCGGTGGGGAAGGGGGGGGAGAAGTGGGGAGGGTGTAGTCCCAATCCTATCCCTTCCTCCTACTTTTCACAGAAGCGGTGCGCACATTAACTCCCTCCCTCTTCGTCATTCATATATGTGTGGCTGACGTTGTTTGCCGAAGGTTGTTAATTTCCCTCTTTTCTCGTGGTGTGCATACACCTTGGCTATTTTAACTACGGACCTCTCGGTGGTATTGTCTCCCCTAACTAATTTATCATTAGAATTAGTCATAAAATCTTAATCAGTCTGCTATTTAAATGGAAAACAATATGGAATATTTATCCGTCAATCGCTATAGGAGATCCGTTGGGAAAGGTATGACAGAAGAATAAAATCATTTTGAGAGGTGGATGCTGCGGTAGAATATTGGGATCTGAATTTAATTACAGATGCACTTAAATGCATTTGTAAACTTCATTCTGAATGAACTATAAAGCACATGCTTGTTATTATATCTTAATTGCGTCGGGCTTATAGTCTTTAAAATTGCATGTAGTCACCCGACGAGACTAAAAGGTCGATACTCTCACACTCGCGTTCTTTATTTTGCGAATCTGCGCATAAGACTACGTCGCCTGACAGGTATAAAAGTGAGAGGTTGGGGGGAAAGGGGAAAACTAGGGTGATGAGGGTAAACGCCAGATAGCGAATACGAAAGCGAGAACGATGTGTCCATTCATTTTTCTTCGTCTGCGCATATGTATACGCGTACGCACAATCACCACCACCACCACCACTCCCAAGTTTCTGCCGCCACTAAGACCAATTGTGGTGTCAAGAGACCAAAGCAGACTCTGAAAACCCTGCTTTTATATTCGCCCCAATCTATCAGCTGATCGACTTTACTTCACGGTCCCAACATTTAGCCATATTTCAGTAATTGTAATCTACTCAAATCAATCGAAAGTTTGCAGTGATCTAGCGCCTGTGCAGTACTTTTCATTGGCTTACCTTCCAGAATTGAGGTCGTTTTGGATACCCCGGGTTTTTGAGCCTGCGCATGTTTAGCGCATCTATCAATTACGTGGAGGCTAATCTTGCTCATTTTATTTCAAATCACGCGCGCACACATACATACACATACATATAGGCACGATCGTACATACAAGGTGTTAGAGTACAAATAATTTACGGTTTTGTAGAGGTAAGTGGTTTATCATTTGTATTCGGCATTTGGACATTATTGTTCATAAAACTCTCACATATCCCAATGGACTTAGTCTCAACATTCTAAATGACCTTTTCAATTATTCCCTGTTTTCTTTTTCTAGTTATAAGCGGAGTAAGATATATATTTATCTTGGTTTTTTTCATTTTAGACGTTGAATGCTACACTGACAGTCTGCAGACATGTCTATCTATCATTCCATGTCCAATTCTGGCCAAGCAAATAACACTAACAACAACTCAAATGGCCAGTCATCCGATTCCAATGCCAAAAATGACCTCACAATGGATTACTTAGCCAGTATTTACGCCTCTAATGGCACTCTTCCCCCAAGCATGCTTCAGCAACAGTCAGCAGCCAACTCCATGACGCAAAATTCGGCGACTGGAGACATAATGAATGCCATTTTGACTGCGGCAATGGCGGCTGCAAGTCCATCCGCACCTACTATGGATCCTTTCACAGCATCGACACTACTCAGTAAGTAACGGTCATAATGGATTTATTGATTACTTGCCACTAGTTGTACACATGAGGTATAATTGCATTGGGTTTCCCAACATTGACACCTGATTTAGCAATTAAATCAAGCGGATTATGTGAAAGCCTGGAGAGGAAGGGGGGGGGGTAGGCTTTTAATGAATTTTGGGACATTTTGCTTTGTGACTCAACTGTGGCCTGTGGTCCATGGATGGTGGGAATTTTAAATAAGTCATTGCGCTACAATAAAATCTTTGCGTTTTCAATAGTAAAGGAACAATTATTATGTGTTTTTTTAGGTTCTAGCTATTGGGATAGTATTGACCTTGTTGCATGTGTAACGTCTTCTTTTATTTGCATAATCTTTTAAAAAATCTATTCTTTTATCTGCAATTTCGAATTTTAATGATCAATTTCCACCACTGGTAAAGCCGAACCGGATCTTAGTTATCGAAAAATTCAGTTTTTTATCGGAAAATGTGTTTATTTATTTGCACATATTGTTCTGTTGCGAAAAACTGAAAGATGTAGCCAAAGTTTAGTCATTCTACCTTAGTTGATTCACGCGCTTACTTTTGAACAGACCAAACCTAATTATAATAAGATTAGGTGGGCGGAATCACCTATCTCATTTTTATCACTGGTGTAATTACACATCTAACCGATGACTCATGCCTCAACCAGAGTTTGACCTACAATCTCTCGATTAAATGGCTTTATTTAATTGTCTTCATTCTGTGATTTCAGCTTCTATAATGTACAGTCAACAACAGCAACAACAGGCACAGCAGAACTCCCTTCTTCAATCGAACGCTAGACAAGCTCAGGTGGATCCTTACTCATCCAAAGCCAATATTCCTATTGATCCCACCCATTTTGCCCAGCAAGCCCTACTACAAGCCGGTATTGAGGCTTCAAGTCGGCAACAACATCAGCAAAACAATCATCAACACCAGATGGCTCTTGCAATGGCGAATTTACTCGGTCAGTGCACTTCCAATCCCCTACTTGCTTTGCATCAACGCCGTGATTTATGTAAGTGCAAACAAACCGGAGTTCAATTTACATATGTTCGAGGAAAACACATTTTTCATAAATCGCCTTTTCATCCTAATTGGGGGGGGGGGGGGGTTAAATGAATTGCAGTTCGTGTTATTGACTTTTCGATTTTTTTCCCACTTGCCTTTCATTTAACTTTATCGAGCATTTTTGACAAATTGACAATTTTCCTGATGATTGGGCTTATAGACCACTTGGAAGAGTGCATAATCTATCTGTTAAATTCATAAAAATAAAAATATCAATGTTTTATTGAACGAAATAGAATTGCAATAGTACCGCTATGTAAATCACGACAGTGTTTTAAATATGGCAGCGCCCTTGTCCTGGTTTTGCATGATTCATCTTTGGTCGTTGCCTAGATTAAAAAACCTGAATAGTGGACTAATGGATGACGTATAGGTGTTAATTGGTATCACTCTTTGCCTTTTGAGGGGTCTGGCAGCATCTGTCGCCGTAGTGTATGAGTCTTAGATTCGTTACTTTGTTTCTTGCATCGTGCTTTACTAGCATTTGTGTTGGCAAAGGAAGAAGATATATAATGCGATCGGAAACGGAAAGATGCTTCGAATTCTTGCAAAAATGTTGCAAAATCGCGCTGTTCTTTTTTTACTTGCGAAACTCGCGCACTTTGACCAATAAAAAATGTCCCACGATTCAATCGATAATAGCCAAACTAGAGCACGCCATTTTTCCGCTGGCAGCACTGCCTAATTGCGCATTTATCAGCCAAATTAGCCCCACATCTCCTCAAAATAGCTTCTGCAAGGCTTTGTTATCTCTAGCACGATTTTTTTTCATTAAAAACACCAATTTCTGAAATATGCGTATTTACCTCCACACCCTACTCGAAATTTTTTTATTACTGATTATATGTTTATGCTTTTTTGCTTTTTTATTGCTGAAATAGTTTAGAGAATTCTTACCCCTTTTGATGTTGCGACACTGCTAAACAGGTGATTTAAAGTCTAAAGTGGGGGGGGGGGGGGGGGAGGTGAAGGAGGAGGGGTAAATATAACGTTCATTGAGTGATAAGTTCGAATCAATTAATTCACCGTGTATTGGCTTTAAAAATAAACAATGTCTATTAGACTATAAATCAATAGGTGATTGAATTGGAGACAAGTTATTTTAATAGGTGAAATTTGAATTTGTGCTAAGCGAGTTCAAGCGAGAATTAGTATTGTGCTTAAACCTTTAATTTAAATGTACTTACATGGAACAGACGAAACCACTGGAAATCTGAGCTTAGAGATTTTATCTAAAATGATACAAATTACTTAAACCAGGCCTTGGTTTTCTTTTAGATGGTGAAGAAGCAAGCACTTCCTCATCCACAGCAGGAACAGATGAATCTTTCAGTTCCGTGTTAGCAAAATTAACACAGGGTCTTAATCAAAGTGCTGCTTCAGGCACTGCTTCTTCCAGAGTGAGTCTTATTTGGCAAATTTGAGTATTTCCCAAAAAAAGGTGCTCTGGCCAATTTGCAACTTTGTTTGTTTACACTATTCTGCCACTTTAGCTTTAACATCTGTCGTTATTTTGTTGTTGCTGTGCAGACGCCAATCACTTCTCAAAGTAAAACTAAAGGCATCTCGGTACATACATCATCTGGTAGTTGTGGTGCCTCCAGATACCCCTCCCAACAAACTGTAACTGACGCTACTACAGCTGTTTATGCCGCCGCAGCTCTGTCTGTTCTCCAGCAGCAGCAGCAGCAAAACCGATTGACTACAACACCAAAACATCAACCCTCGCTTACTGTCCCCTCCCGACCCACGACTGCCAGTTCGTCCACACCACAACGAGAGGGTCAGCTTCATAGAGGTCGTGGTAGACCTCCAAAATCATCCATTTCTGTGACGAAGGTAGATTATTTTTGATACTTTTGCTTTCTAATGTTCTATCTGACAGTTAGGTTACTTTAAGTGTGCGATACGATAGCCTTTTTGCAGACGAAAACCAAGAGTTTCGTAAGTCATGATGGAGTGAGAAGAAATCAGGAACGAGTAGGAAGATAAATAAGGAAGTGGGAGTGAAGTGGAGGGGGGGGGGTGGGGAGGAGAGCGCCAGTATTGAGCAAGTGGACCCCAGATTTTAAGAAACAAGGCCGATTCAAGTAAATGTTGGAGTTGATTGATGTTAACCTCTTTATCGTCGATAAAAACCCTCACATGTGAAATGGAATGCGGAGACTCACGAGTTAGCAAGTGGAGGCCAAAAATATTGTTAAAAATTATCTATAATGAGTATATTCCTAATTACATTCGGTGAGACTGATCATTCTTCTGTTTTTTTGTCAATCTCACTTTAAGCCAAACTTAATTGGATGCTTTTCCATCACCATCACATTGCTGTGCTACCATTGTTTAAATATTAGCTCATTTAAATTTTGTGATCTGAATATTACAGTACTCTTATGAGAGCATAAAAAAACTTACAAAGAGGTTGTTGGGTCGAATCATCAGTCAATCAGATGAAAATAACGGAAATCGGGTGAATGCAATATCATTTTAGCCCAGAGTTTCTTGAATCTCCTATCGTCTCCGGTCCCTTCTCTCAATAGAGTCAAAGTAATTTTTCTACATATATTTGACCGCCTTTTTTCCTTTTGCATAGATCCAAGTTGACAAACAATCACGCGCTTCGACATCCACCCCTCAATCTGAATCTTCAATCGCCGATTCCAATAGCATTGATGGGACCATAACCGATGTACTCAAACGTTTCAACGACTCCACAGACCAAACTGTACCTAGAAAACGAAAACGCGTTGATTCAGTTGAAAAAAGTGCTCCGAACAATGTCTCTGCATCGGCTGCCCGTTCAAATACGCCTAATATTCCCGCGTCTTCGACTAAGACGGATACTTTGAGTAAGTCACATAGCTGGATTATGTGAAATCTTCCCATCAATTATCAATCTTGTGCTAATGACGTACAATACAATCCATATGGATGAGTAAAAAGGGCACGAAAAATGCCCTTCTTACTCTGTTAGCCCTCCGAAGCCTGATGAAATTGGTTGGCGACCGTAGTTACAACTTATCTGGTCCTTATTAGTCATCTGATTGAATTTTAGTCACCTCTTTTCACCTCTTTATACTATACTTTCATTGCTCCTATTCAATTAATCAATACGACTAGTAAAACTGTTCCTCTGCGTACAATTCACGATTGTCATGTGTCACTTTCTAAATACAATTCACCTTAACCTTATTATTGTTCTGACATGATTGCAAAATTAAGTTAACTTCGTTGTACAAACCGCTACGTCTAGGCTTTTACAAGTTCATCGAAACGGCAAATTGGTTCACGTTTCAATAGACTTTTATCCATATCCTATTCAAAACGTGTTTTCTTTGTATTTTAGGCCATAAGCGCGCAAGAACTCTTCCTGAAAATGGCTATCGACTTCCCTTAAATCTAGGGTGCGCTTCATTGATCTGGTTTATATTAAATATATCTCCTTTGCAATAAACAACCACCATTTCAATATTTCAGCTGGCGTCGTGAGACATTGGTTAAGGGTGTTGGTCCAGGCGGTTTGCTTGGAGATGTTGTCTACATTGCTCCCTGCGGCCGTCAATTCTGGAATATTGATAATATTCGAGAGGTAAGGAGTCTTCAAACCATCATATTTCCTTTAAGTATTGAGTTTGTATAATTATAAAGCGAGTGGAATTTAGTCTTGCTTAAAATCCACTGTCCTTTGACTTCCATTAGAGAGAGGTATAAATACCCGAAGATAAGGGTGTTCTTCCAAGTAGTAATTATCTAAAAAGTGGCTTTAAAAATACCTCAATATAATAAAATTTCTCAAATATCTCCTGATTATTCCATCTTTAATCATGTTGATTTATTTTAGTACCTGCGATCGACAGCCAACACAATGCTAACTACAGAGGACTTTACCTTTAAATCCTACATTCGTTTGGGTGATTATTACGAATGCAATAAAGAATCCGAGGTGAGAATCAGTGTTGCCAACGTGGAGCAGTGTTTAATTTACGTGGTTTCATTCATCACCATTTTTTCTTAACAGGGTTTTGTGAAAATGTCCGATTCTGCTGTCAATGCACTAATTGCAACTGGTCAGGAGACACAGTCTGGAGGTCCCAGACGAAAATCGCAGCCTGTCTATCCATCAGCTGCCCAAACCTTAACTCCCGCTGTTTCCACAGGGTCAAATACAAAGGCCGCATTAGGTTCGTGTCTTAAGGAATCGATGCTAAATTAGCTAAGTGGATTTAAGTAATGCGATTATAACTGAGTTTGCTTTTGAAAAGAGACAAAGGTTAGTAGGAAGTTGTGTGTGGGATGGCAAAAGGGGTGTGTGTGCGCGCGTGTGTCGCAGAATTTTTGTTTTACCAAACACGTAAAGAAAGCGGTACGCAATTGGCCCATTTATTTCTCTTGGTAAACATTTTGTAAAAAAATATTTGAATATTGATCTATATTGACAAGCTTAAGCAGAGGCGGAATTTTCATTTAAGTGAAATTTCATAAAAAATGACACAATTGTGGTGATCATGTCTATAAAAGTTTTTCTTGTAGTTTCGGATATTTGGGCTACGATTTGAATAAAAAATAAGGTATATTGAGTAGCTGCATTAATTGGTTTTAATAGTACAACGAACAAATTTTTGTTTGCAGTTTAACTGAATCAATGATTAACTTAGAGCAAATATACGGTTTTATTGATTTAGTGGAACACTAAGTTGCTACTTGCAAACTTCCCTTTCAAAATGTGTGTACAGATCAACGATCTCAATTAGAATTATAAGATTCGTTACTACAACTTCAGAGCTGATAAAATTAGCATGTTAAAAAGTGGGGAATAGGGTTCTAATCTAACATTTTGTTGATGGTTAAAGTTGTCAAAAACCAGAACAGAACCCCATCAAATGTTAAGGCGATGAACACTACGGATTTATACGTTTATGTATTTACCAAATCATGATTACATATTCAATTTAGGAGAAAATTCCAATGCTGAAATGATGGCTGCTCTGGGTGGGATGAATCCAGAAGCCTGCGCTAAAACCTTCGCAGAACTCGCCCTTGGCCTTCAACGATTTCCCCCTCAAATGTCCTCTACCCTGGTCAATCAAATTGGTTCCGTGTGGACACCATGGCCAGTGGGATTGCAGGCAGCTGCAATTTCTTCATCTTCATCTACTTCTGGTCTTCAATTCCCCTCAAGTCAAGGTAATCACCCACATCAGCAACCAAAGGAAAGGCCGTCTTACCCTGCATTGACGAATAGTATTGATGTACGTTGTTTTTTTATATTTGCTTTCATTTTGTCACGAAACTATCTGTGTTTGCTAGTTCTTGGTTTATTGTGAATAATGGCTGTGCATAGAAATAAGACAATGAGAGAATACGTTTAAACTAGAGTTCGTCAATCTTCATTGTGAGAACCTAGATTATCCTCTGGCATGCGAAGACTGTATGCAAACTGTTTGAGTAGTAATGGATGGATGGTGGATATCTTGCACTATGAAAAGTTACGCGACAATGGGGAAATCCATATGAATAGTAGACGTACATGAATACACCACTAAAGCTTACTTTTAACTTAACAGCTTGAACATCTTTTTATTTGTTCCGATTCGGCGGGTGCAAAGTTGACTTTATAAAGATAGACTAGTGTTTGACGCGTATTTTTCCACAACCACCCACCACCGCCTCAACTATTGGACTTTGTTTTTTGTGCGTGTCATTTGACTAAATGAATAAACCCTGTCCTGACACTCATGAAATAGCAGATTTTAAGTACTTTGACTAGTTGAAAATGTATACACTCAAATTGTGAAGGCTGTCGTCTGTCTTTGTTGTAGTTTTTATATGTGGATAGCCTTGTCCTGCTTTTAGGCTATTAGCATTTAAAAATTTAAGTTGAAGATGTTCAATTGAATTTGAAGTCGTAACTATAATAAGTACATCTTTTAAACCTTAGTAAGCCCCACGTAAACTATTTTAAAAGCAATTCCAAAAGTGTTTCGGGTAGCGAGAAGCATCATAAAGCCTTTCCGGAGGGTGACTAATTCTGTCATCCTTTGTATTAGTCAGACTTAACCATCGTGATTCACCATTGTGCTCACTGTTTATTCTCAATGGGAATCAAACTCTTAATGCCTGGTGTGAATGCCAAAATGCTTCCAAAAGTGTTCTCTAATCTGAACTCTCTACTTAAGGTTGGGAAAATCAAATTTTTCCCTTCTTTCTGTCCCAAATTTGAGAATATATGTGCAACTAATTTGCCTGATTAATTTAATCAGCATTATCTTTATGAATTAATGGATATTTATATATTATTTTGTAGGATTTCAACGATATCCGAGGATTTTTCAAGAAACTTGTTGAAGATCTTCAACGACTGGAGTCAGAAAAGGAGTCTCTTCGAAAAGCGGATCTGGAAGCTCAGAGCGCCAAAGCACGAGAAGAGGTCAATTAAAAATTTATTTTGCTAATTGATGCAATTACTAGAGTGCATTGGGCTTGAAATTGTCGATCGATAAAATCGATTAGCACTTGTTCAACTTGATTGCTTTATTTATCGTTAGTCCGTGCAAAACTACGCCTGCTGCACTTTCAGTTACTTCCATTGATCATTTTGTTTTGAACTTTTTTTTCAATTATTGAAAATAAATGAGTAGATCTACATTTTTAGCAAACTTTAAAAATTTTGGAATATCTTTACATTTAGTAATATGTAAGATAACCATTTTGAATTTGCTCTAACTTTTACTTTTTGGTCAGTATATGCTGTAATAAAAATTCACTATTTAGCCTAATTTACGTTATTTTTAACTTAAAATTTTTCATATATAATGATATGGCAATTTATAAAAGTTTATTTTTATTTTAGAGGATCACATATCTGGTAGAGGAGGAATTACGTCGACCAGTCGAAGATCTAAACCTTCTCAATCCAAAGGTTAGTTTAATATGAATTGTAATTGATAATTATCTCTTTACAACCGATCATTGCAATTACTGCTTTTTCTCCTTTGTTCGTTAAAACAATCCTTATCCAAAATTCAGTACAGTGTAGTCTTTTTTAGAGAGATTAAGTTACTTGTAGTTGAACCTGGCACTTACTTACTTTCAACAGTGTGCGCAGTTGCCATTGGCAACACAATACACATTTTGTTGGGTGGTGTGAAGATGACCGGTTGTGTGGTTTCATTGATTGTCCAGGGTAAAGACCTTCGAATTCTCCTAGAATGAGAGAGAGAGAGAGAGGGAGGGAGGGAGGGAGGAGAGAAAACAAACAAGATACACGCTTTGGCGAATTGGATCATTTTGCCTTCCTTTCACTTCTACTACGCCCACGAACAAGCGCTCAGTCATGCCGATTCCCAGGGGTTTTTAGTAAGGTGGCTAGATTGACCAATTAGAACATGTCTTGGTTGTACGCAAATGGACCACGAATAACTCCGTCAGAAGGTGGTATGAATTTAATTTGATTGCTTGTCTCTTGTTCCCACTAGTTGCCTTCAAAATGCATTACGGATATGCACTTGTATAAGGGATTTTGTATAAAATAATGCTGCTTAGCTGAAACTCTCGCAAATGTATTTGGAGTTCCTTATGGATTTAGGGTCAAAATAAACACTTAATCTAACGGTAATTGTTTCGATTGACGAATTTTAACGTCCATGAGGAACCGACGCTCATTTTTAACGGAATCCAATTGTTGCAAAGACTTAAAATCAAGTTGTATTGGAAGCAAAATGAATTCTAATTGAGAATGATAGTTTCAGTTAACTACTTTCCCTGTTTCATTTAAACACATAGCTATAAACTTTTTGACAAATAATTCGATTAGTTCCTCCACGTTCGATGCGATAATCGATGAGATGGGTCTCTAGAATAACTAAACCGAAAAATAGTGGAATAAAATAGATTTAAATATAATTACCTCACCTTATCTATTCTACAACTGCAAACCACTGAATGCCACGTAAAATCTTTCGTCTTCTCAACCATTGGAAGAATTAATTAAATTAATAAGACAGGCTCTTCTTGAATAAAATTCAGTTAATAATCAATAATAAGCAACTCGAGATACGCATCATGAAATTTAGGTTTTGAAATATGAGCTACTCATTTAACAAATATTGTGCTACTCGATTCCAATAATCAAATAAAGTAGGACTCTTTACTACCTTGCAGTTACCCTAGCAACCAATTAAGCCTCTGTCCTCTTATCATTAAGTCGGCTTTCTATTGATCGTTTTCAGCTGTTGCTCCCAATTAAACTCTCTGCTCTACCGTGTTTAATAATTGACGACAGTAGAGGTCTGGTCTCTCCTCACTGAATGCAAATTCTCTGATGCAAGTTTAGAACAGGGAAATCCATTTTCATAAAGTGAAAAGTGCAATATCATGCCGAGTTCTTTGTCTCAAAGGATCAGCAAAGTGCCATGGATGCCAGTAGTTTTAAAAGTATAACAATTTAAAACCGTTGTCTCGCTAACTTCTGGAGTAATAACTTAAAATTCTTTAATGGACTCGAGACTTCAATATTTACATCACCAGATTCTGGCCACATAATAAACTCCCTATAGGCATACATGCATACTTATGATTCACTCTTTTCCCCCATCAAGTTTACTTCGTTTGTATTAACAAATAATTGTTATTCACAAAACTATAATAGGATGTGATTTCGCCAAGTCTTGTTCTCTCTAGGGGTGTCTTCTGTGCAATACAAAATGCGTCAGAAAAATGTCTTCTTAATGTCTATTAAACCATTTCTCCATTCATTTGCTGAATGCAAATGGGAATGAGGGCATTTTGATTTCTTCTATGGAATTGCCCATTGGGCAAAGCAATCATTTGAGACCTAATTACTTTCTTTTAAGCAATTTGTCGTTTGTCTCAAAAGTTATGCCATTCAACTAAACAAACCAATGAGTTATAAATGGTCAACAGCCAATGTAAGGTTTGGGGAGAAGATTTGGAGCTTTGCTCCTCATTCCGTTGGTTCTGTGAGTTAGTGCCTATTATATTCTCAAAAATAGGTGTCTAAATATGGGGCTGAAGCGGCATTTGGGGTAGTATTGAATGATAAAATCCAGCATATCATCTTACGTCTTTCTATTTACTAATCGATCAACCGTTTAGTTATTGCTTCATAGGATGATCATTTTTTTGACTCCCAGGATAAAATTCTTTTTCCGCTTTCTAAGGCACCTTGCAGTATTCGAAGTTCGAGACTAAATTATTTATTCGTTCATTATTAAATAAATAATTTTTCTTCTTGTACTGCCAGCCACTTCCCGATTACGACCCTATTGAAGGCAACCAAATGCCCAGTCAGGTATTTACGGATTGCTTGTTCGTGCTGGAGTTCTTACATGCTTTCACTGAGGTTCTCTGTATTGGTGAGTGCTGTCAATTCTACTACTTATAGGTTGCTAGTAGAATGATTAATGGAACAATTACACTTTTATTTCAGACCCGGAATCAATCCCTTCAATGAGATGTCTGCAAGCAGCCTTTATTGAGAGAGACGAAACCTGTCTGGAAGTTGTAAATCATCTTATTATTGAGCTCCTCAAGTTTGCTATTCTTGATCCTGGCATTCCGACGCCGAGGCTGGTAAGCACAATATGAATTCCCCCATTTGGAAAGCATGCAGATATAGAAATAATTCCTTTTTGTTCCAAGGTTACGCAAATTTTGAATGCACGGTTTAGTGAGATGGAAGTTAATACGCACACAGTGACCGGCCTACTTCGCGTTCTTCTGATAGGTCGAAATAGCTATGAAGATGAGATGTCTGATTGGCTTGCACCTTCAAACGTGGACCATATAATTGAACTCTCTGGACCACAGATTGCCAGTCTTTTGGCTTTCATTTGTGATGAGTTGGCTTGCTCTAGTCGTATAATCTCGAATGAAGTCGATAGGACTATTGAACTTCAAGTCGCACTGAAAAGGGACAAGTTCAATTTGGAGGCGAAAATTAGAAAGTAAGTTTAGTTTTTCATTATTTTTCCATGCCGTAAGTAGAGTTGTGGTATAATAAATGGTCTTTTTGAGGTTTCATTAATCTTAGTGGCCACCGCTGCCCTTCATTTGAGATCGAAGTATTTATTACTTTGAATGACCAAATATTAATCAACGGTAAGTTGAGAGATTTGAAATTACTGTCGAAACGACTATTATTACAATCTGAATTATAAAACGTGTAAATACTGGAGAGCATGCTCGACTTAGAAATTGAAGTTAACTTATGGGATTTACAAGAATTGGTTCGATGATTAATGGCGGAACATTGAGCTATGGTTTAAAGTATTATTTTCTCTTTGCAGAATTCGAGTCATTTTGGCTCGAAAGTTTGGATTGGACCATACTATTAAGCCCAAAGGATCGGAAGAGGAGAAAAGTCCGAAGCAGCCAGCGTTTCTGCACAACATTCGACAACTATCCTCTCTACATAACTACGATTCGGGTGATGAAGAAGAGTTAGAGAGCGCTGATGAGTTAGAGAAACGAATTGAAAGTCTTCAACAATGTTTGGAAGCCAAACAACGAGCCATCGAGGAGTGCGCTTTTCGATTGTCGGGAGTATTTCTTGGTCAGGATCGTTTTCATCGGAATTATTTTGTTATGGGTAGTCTCGGGGGTATTTATGTTGAAGGTCAACCTACTTCGAACCGAGTGGGATTCGCTTCACACGATATTCCGGCGGTCTTTGATGCTGATGCTATTGTTGCCGAGATAAAAGCTCGAAGAGAACTATCTGTAACCAGACACTTCAATACAAACCCTGGAAATAGTTCCAACACCGCGTCAGTGGCTCAGAAATTTACTGGCATGCGTTCTGCAGCGCCTAAGGTTGAGAGACTAACCTCTGAGAAGAGTAAAGAACCTGAGGTAAAACCTGAAGAAACGTTTGAAGTGAAATCGGAGCAATACAGTGAAAATATGAGTGAAATGGAGGAACCGAAGGTTAAAAAGCTCCTTGATGAGGCAACTAAGGTTAATGAAGATAGAATTGAACCTAATGATGATAGGACTGACATTGAAGCTAAAGAACCGGGTGAAAGTAATCGAGAAGATAGTTCTCTAAAAGATGAAGGTGAGAAACTCACGATTAAGACCTTAAACGATTCAGAGGAAAAAGTTGTGCTAAAGATTAATGATTCTGAAGAATCATCAACCTCTCAGCCGTTGGATCTTTCTACTAAACGGCCTACGCCACCACCACCACCATCACCACCACCTCAACCTCAATTGAAAACCCCGACTCCAGTACCCTCTCCCATCCCTCCGATGTCTGATCAAACTCTTTGGCAGTCCCTAACGGAACAAGATTTGTCTTGGGCTCTAGAGGTTTGTCAGATGGATGATACCTTCATCACCACTGCCACCCTTCTTTTCATCACGCAGAACGATCTTATTGATCGAGCATCCATCATCAATTGTTGGTCTGATCCCTCCTGGCACATGCAACTTTTTTTCTACAAGTTGCAGTTGATGAAGTCAATTGCTTTCGAAAAAAAGAAGTCCTGTGAGGAAAATAATTCCCTTACCCAGTCTCTGAAAAGACTAAAGACTTTACTGGATGAAAACAGTCGCGAAAACAGAGTTGATGTGTGTCACCAAGCTGCCAAGGACATTCAATTAAATGAAGAGGAATTAATTACAGTAGTAGAAGAGATGCTGGGGGAGAAGGGAATTCAAAAGGCGGGTCCTGAGGATTTGGCATCAATCCCACAGGAGGCAAAGGGTAACTGGTGGCGAGTTAGGGGCTCACAGAATCTCCAAAAACTCCTTGCCGCCCTTCATTCAAGAGGTATTCGAGAAAGAAGCCTTCTACAAATAATTCAAACAGCCGAAGATGCTATCGTTTCCTCTATTGATGCCGATGCATCAACTGGTACGTATAGTGTAATTAAATAGAAAGAGTGTAAAACCAATACGGATCCGCTAAAACTGATTGTATCAATTATTTTTAGTTCTGGATATTGAGTCTATCACTTCGGAGGATGGGTGGAAGCCAAGTCTGCTTAGAGTTCGTTCGCGTAGAGGGAAAGGCAGAGGTGTAAACGCTTCTACGTCTTCGTTTTTAAATTCACCTAACACCGGGGCATCTTCCTCTGTAAACCTCCCGGTTCTCAGCCACTCCACACGACATATTCCTTCCCTGCCGAACCTCGATGAAGCTGCATCCGAAATTGACGCATGCGCCTTTCGCGGAGATAATGATGCGTCACCAACTTTTACATTGGAACGCAGTGTTTTTCTTGGCGAGAACTTTGAGCGTGCAATGCGAGCTGGCAGAGGAAGTGAAACTACTCAACAATCTGAAGCCGAACAAGAATTCGTGGATGAGTGCCGTTTCTTGGAACTTGTTGAAGGGCTCGTTGACAGAGTTCTCTCTGCCAGTTTGCAGACAAAGGGTTGGCAGGTGAGAATACTGTTAATACTAGCCTGAAATGCGTTTGTCATGCGTAATTTATAGCTCCATATTCTCTTATCTATAGGCTCCAATGAAAGCCACCGAGGATGATTCCATCCAACTCGTTCCTCGTAATAGTCCTAAAATCTATCGGTATGATTTTTGGCCCTTGGAATTGGCCCGTGAACGGCTTTTGGATCTAGAAGCACATACTGAACGTCGGTACCTCCTACCGCCCTTAAACTGTGAGTCACGACTCGATGCTGTTCAAGCGCAGGCAGCTGCAGCTACTCAAGACGAACGACAAGCAGCGGATAAGATGAAAATAGCAGACGGTACTGGAAGCGTGTGCAGTGACTCGACAAACCAGGAGGAATCCCATACCCGTAACCGAGGAGATGCTAATAACGAAACTGAGAGTGGAATTGACTCTGATGCTCAAGGTTTGACTCTCTGGCGACGCAACACACGTAAAGCCGACTCTATCGTGGAGTTGAAACGTTGTGCGATGCAGTTTGAGGCTGCTATTGCTTGGGACAAGTCTATTATGAAGGTGCTTTGCCAGATCTGTCGTCGTGACAAAAATGAGGCACGTCTACTACTATGTGATGGATGTGACCATGGTTTTCACACCTACTGTTTCCGTCCACCGATGATTTCTATCCCCGAGGGGGATTGGTTCTGCTATGATTGTGTCTCCAAGGCTATGGGGAAGTGTCATTGTTTTGTTTGTGGTCTTACTCGTCCTATTGGAGAGAACTCTTGTGAAGGAGCACCAACCAATAACGTTGCGCCCGCTCATCGATTGGTTCAATGTGTATCATGTTCTCGCGGTGCTCATCCCGCTTGTCTTCGCCCGCCAGTCAATCGTCTTCCCAAGAAATGGACTTGTATGCTCTGTACAACCAACGGTGCTCATGTTGGAAGTAGAGAAAAAAATATTATCCCGACTGCAACTACTTCAGCAGCTTTTAGTGAATCTGACGCGAAAATGTCACAAGTAGGTGTATTGAAAAAGCTCGTTGTATGTTTAGATTATTTTTTTGCAAATTTGTAAATATTTCCTCCCTTTCCCCGCATCTTAGGCAAATTCGATGCAATTAGATCGACCCAAACGAGTCTACATTAAATCAGGTGCCTACCGTTCCACTAAAAGAATCGCCCGAATTGTTAAGCCAGATTCAACCAAAATAAGAACTGCTTCCTCCTCAAGTACTAGTGAACGGAAAGTCGGCAGACCCAAGGGAAGCAAGCGAGGTTTAAAGAAACGGGGCCGGCCCTCCAGCCAATCTAAGCGGCATCGCACTGATGCGGGTAAGAGTTTTAATCATTCTCATGCATAACTTTGAACAAGTATTAGTTTATCTTTGAAAAGTTATCTGTGAAGAGGCAACGTCCATACTTAGTGAGGTTTGATCGGATTAACTCTCTTTGAGTGATAAAATATGCCTCCTTTTTAGGATATTAAAGGGGTTTTGAGTCTTTTTATGAATATTTTGTGTATGGAAGAAAACAAGCACCTCGTTTTCAACAAATAATATCGAGTAAAGGCATAGTCAGGGTGGTTTAGGAATATGTGTAGTGAGTCGAATCTACATCTAAACAGTCGAAGTTAACATGAGTGTATGCTAAGCACAGACAGCAGTAGCATCGAAATGAAGTTAGCGCCGCGGTAATTGTTTAGTGTGAGTTCACTATCGTTCCTCGATGTTTCTCTGGAAAGGTATGCAGTTTCGGAATTGGGTTTAAAGACGATAAGGACCGCCTCACAAGATATGACAACAATTAACAACACCATGTCAAAATTCCTTTTATTTTTATGATTGTTAAGTGGAGGGCTATCAGCTTCAGGGTATTAAAGCTTAAGTACAGGCTTAAGCTGTCCAAATGGGAAAGAGTGGGAAATAGTGCTAGTGACGTCTGCTAAACACGAATTTCATATTAGCCAAGAGGGATATCCTTGCCATACAATGAGTCCTGAAAGAGTACCATGTTCAGAACATGTACGCATATATCCTTCGCCTATCTTTTTTTGCAGATACCATCGATCCAAACGATACAAGCGCAGATGAAGACGAGGAGATGACAGACGGTGAATATCAGGATGAAGATGGCACTGAAAGAAAGGGTGAAGGAGGAAATTCCGTCGATAAAGAGGAGGCACTCGAAAACAGTGAAGGCGAAGAAAATGGAGGAGGTGAGGAGGGAGAGGATTCCACCAACAGTGGAGTGACAAAATCACGTAAAAACCTATCTCCTGGCATTCCTTCCACTGTTGTTGTTATCAGGAGACCGAGGAAGAATAAGAAGAAGAGGTTGAATGGAGCTGATCGCGAGTTTTGCAGGTAATTATTATTACTGGGCTTATGTTGAAAAAGGTGTCTGCAAGCACTCCGTGCTTTCAACATATCACCTATTATTTCAAAGTAAAAATGCCTCTTTGCAACTGGTATTAATAATCACTTTTGTTCGAATTCCTACTTTTGATTTTTTATTCTCTCAAACCCCCAGGAATGCAACGGAAGATCTAATGAAACACGAGCTTTCATGGCCCTTTAGAAAGCCTGTTTGCTGCAAAACTGTGCCAATTTATCGAAGGATCATCAAAAGGCCCATGGACCTATCAACTATCCTTAAGCGTCTAGTCTCAGAGAAGAGGTAAGTTGGAAGTGAATCACATTAAAATAAGCAATACACATTAATTTGCCTTTATATGCGACCCTTATTTATTTTGTTTCTGCAGCCATCATTACAGTTCATTGAGGGAATGGCGAGAAGACGTTCGGCAGATATTTACAAACTGTCGAATCTTCAATGAAGACGAATCGGAAATCGGTAAAGCGGGCCATGAACTCCGAAAATACTTTGAATCCACCTGGGCGACTGTTTCACAAGAACGCTCTCCAGCATCAACAGAAATGCCAGTCAAAGAGGAATCAATCATAACAGCTCCGAGTTCTCCAGAATCATCTAACTTTTCGGCGAAACCTGCTTCCGAAGTAGATGATGTTCCTTCTATTTCTCCTGCCGAAGCTTCTGCTATTCCACCGCTATCATCTATGGAATCTGAAGATGTGTCACCTTCACCAAATAGCAAAGAACCAATTGCGAACGAAGAAGAGGAGCAGAAAACCGAATCCCCTTGTGCTGAGGAGACTGCTGTCGAGTCTGTTTTAAACTAGATCAAATGGAAACTGTGTTCTCTAATAGACAATCGATGGCCACTTATACACATGCACAGACACTCCCTATCCGTCCCTCCCATTAAATGTGAATAAATTCTTTCCTGGCTCTCATCTTATTTGTCCCTTGCACTCTCACCCCCCCCCCCCCCCTCCCTCGCATAGCCCTTTTCAGTGTTTCTCACTCCTACTTCCTTTGTTGATGCTGTCAATCATCATCCTCTTCTACTTACATATGTGATATTAATGATCTCGGTTGACAATGACACACACTGTGTACCCGTGACTAACAACATGGCTACAAACGAAGTCCCCTTGGTAGTGATGGGTAACCCATCACCCATGGTTTGTAAATAAAATTAAGACAATGTTAATGAATAAAGTCAATTCAATGGTAGATGTCTATTCTACTCTTGGGGAGGGAATAACTGCATTAACCTCTAGTAAGTCAATGGAATATTTTTAGCAGGCTATTCGTTCTTTTGTAAGGGGTGTAGAAAAGAAGCATTATTGCATTCGGGAACTTCACGGATACCATGCCTCCAAGATGCCCTAAAACATATATCAGTCCCTGCGCTAACAGGGTGTACATGATGTCTACAAACTATGCAACTCGTGTTTAGACCAAATAGGAGTTTGTATGGCAACATCTATTGGAGGCCATTAGACATAAGTCAATGTAGGTGACAACAACCAACGTGGGGATGAAGGCGAGGATATATACGAAGACGGGATTAATTAAGAATACACGTATATTTAGGAGAAGCAAATTTTATGTCTTCAACCTACTGAAAAGTTGTCAATAGAATAATCGTTAAATTTACAGTAAGTGAATAGCGGGAGGGCGTTAAGGTTATTAATGTGGTACCCAAGACCACCCCCTCCCCCACTCTTCAACCCCAGCGTTTGTGAACATTTTAAGCCCCCCCCCCCCTTAAGACAAGGCGATCTGATTATGCTTGACTCCGCCCCTGTTCCGTGTTGGCAACCGAGTGTGAACAGCTAAATAGGATTTAGCTTAGTCAATGTCTTGGTTCTGAATAGTCAAATTGCAAAAAGCCTCATTCGACTGAGTGGACAGTGGGATCAAAATAAACCACTTCAGCATGGTTATAATTAAAGGCTGCACTGAATTCGAAAAAAAACTATTAGCAAATACTACATCTGAAATAAAGGAAACTAACGAACATCAAATGATCCAAACGCAAACGTAAAAGGATGAATTGAGAAGTTGATTTAGATGGCTCAATCTGAAACTTACTGGGACATAACAGTAGAAAGACGCATGTGAACGAAACGACAAAAAATAGGAAATAAGATGCCAATATATATTTACAAAAGAGACCATCTGGAGCAGAATTGTAAAATAGGGAGAGGGGGTGGAAGGATTTACTTGTACAGAGCAGCAGTATGCTGCTCCTTCTCCGGTAACACAGGCTCGTCTGTGCGATTGAAGACTCGAATATTGCGCAACTTCCTCTTCTGCTTGGCCCGAATTATTCGGTTCTCCTTGGTGGCAGCAAGAACGGAGCGAGGCACCTGTCTGTGTTTGAGAATTCTACGAACTTCTGGGTGCTCGGAGTATTTGTTTCTAAGGGCCTCCGCAGTGGCCAGGGCTTCACGCTCTCGTGGTTTCACTGGACCAAACTTCTCTGAGGCGTGAGCTCTCCACAAACGCGTATTCTGATCAGTTGAGGAGGAAAGAATGAACTGAGCGTCGAGAGTGAACTTCACTTGTAATACACGCTTCATCCGCTTTGTATGGTAGACGTCTATTGATGAAGTCTGATCCACACTCCAGATACGAATCTGCAAGTTAGAGTAGTAAAACAAATTAGCCACACGGCAATCAAAATATACCTTAATTTCGGCGAAAAGATCACATGAACTAAAGAAAGTTAATCACAGAAAAGCAGAATGATAGCAGTATGAAGTGGTGACGGCAACTCAAATATTATCCAATTCTGTATTACCAGACTTAAGTAGTCCTGTTGAGTGCACTGGTAGCCATTGAATCCGACTGCACAAGCGAGCACGTTAACCATCACGCTTTAGAAGTTAACCACTAACGTATTTGTTTCGTAAAGCATACCAGGTTAGTATTAAAAGGGGCTTTATTTGAACCGAAGATATAGTGCTTTAATGGTAGAAATACTAAATGGGAACGATTTAATATCATCGGGAGTCTTCGAAATAATGTGATAGCCGTAGAACACAAATATCAAACGATAAAAATGAATTAAAATACAAGCAATTCGGGGTAATAATAGAAATAGTTGAAAGTTTATTCTGATGTAGCTTTGAGCAAAAAATGGTAATTGGCTAATTTGCAATAAGAAATTGATAACTTATTATTTAAGAGGCGAAATGTCAACGCTATGCAAGATTAATTTCTCCATAGCAAACAATTAGGACGAAATAGAGTCTGCTAAAAAGCCTAGCTCATAACAATTCGCTTTTAACTATTGCGATGAACCTAAAATAACTAACTTTATTGACATAACAAATTACAATTAAAGGAAGCCAATAAAGTGAGCAAGGTAAAGCTCACTTAAGGCTAAAAAACAGAACAAACTTACAGTGCTATCATAGCTTCCTGAGACAAGTTCTCGACCAGAAGGCGAATAATCCACAGACATTGCGGCATTTGTATGACCCATATACACTCTTTTCGGATGCTTGAAGAAACGAACATCATAGGTGTATAGGTTGTAATCTTCGCAGGCAGCAGTGAAGACATATGGTTCCATAGGATTCCAGGAGAGTGCATTTAATTTAAGATTCATCTTTAACTTTCTTAGAGGAGTATCTTCTCTTGTGTCAGCCAAAATAATAGAATTATCTTTGGTCAGAATGCCAACAAGATTATGTTCAACAGGGTTAAAGGCGGCATGATGAATTGATTCGTGACCCCAAGTCCACTCCCGAACTGGAACATCCATTCGAGAAGAGTGATAGAGAAGGCAGGACTGAGGAGTACCGACGATAAACGCATCCATCTTAGGATGGTGATCTAAGCACATTGGCGTTTGCTCTAGAAGAACTGTGTTCAAAGGTTGATTCCAACCTTCGACAACATGGTCATGGTCCATACGCCATTGCTTAAGTTGAGAATCAACACCACACTAAAAATTGAAAAAGAAAACGGATTTAAACGATACAAGAAATAAATCAAGGAAAAGTAACTTACGGTATACATAAGCTTCGACTTATCATATTGACAAACTCCTCGTACTTCCCCAGAATGAGCCTCCTTTTCGTACTTTAATTTTCTACTAGCGATATCCCAATATTGAATCTAGAAAGGGGTCAGGTACGAATATATTGACTCACGTTTCCATCAAAAGTACCAAAAACAGCAAGGCCGACTTTTTCAGTATTAAGTGAAATGACAGTCATGGTATCCGTTGTGCCAGCAAGACAACCTATAAATGGTTTTGCCATCATTCGAGAAAGTTTGGCGGCATTTAGTGCTCTGATATACTCCCTCTCGGCAGCGAAAGGATGCTCTGTGCTAGACACGTTACGGGGCACTAAGAGAATGAAATTAAACAATCAATTACTTTTAAAAATATCGTCCTTAGTTTGCCTCTGGTAATCGGCTGGATTACGAGAAAGCATACGGATCTTCATTACGACTAAGTCACGCTAGAGGCTGAGCCGGTATCCAAATAGCGCGGGTTACCTAATGCTTATTAAAACAAATCAAAAATAAAATTTAAGGTTCGGGTTTCGAGACAAATATTAAAGTTAAAAATATGTATGTTTTTACTCGGTGTATTACTTTAAAAAATTTTAATACATGTTCATTTGAACCTTTGGAAATATTAGCACTTTTAAGATAAAATCCATTAATTTTAGAAAATCAGATTAAAAAATCAGCATAATATTTTGCTCAACTGACCACTGTAACTATTCTTCGTGTTCCATTTATTATGATATTATTAGTGCTTTTAGCGTCAAATGAGCGAATTTTTCCGAGAACATTAATCTCCCAACCGTTTGCATTTGTTAAGGATATTTCCAGCAAATGGCAGACTTTATGTTAGTTATCATTAGTCCTTTAGTTGACTATGAGCTTCACATAGTTCAGGAACATCAATGTCGCAAAAAAAGTGATTCAGCGATGCAAAAGAGGTAGGCAAAAAAGGTATTGAAAAGGTAAGAAGTGGAAGTTATGGAATATGAAATAAAATTGAGCCATTGTAGTTTGAAGTCAGAAATCAAACGTCCGTTTATAGACTTTCTTGCCGTATGAGCAAACGTTGTCAATAGTGCACCACTTGGAGTAAGTCTATAGTGTACCTCTGTTAAGGTCATAAAGTGACGCAACCGCATTTACTTCAGATTACTTCGTGGTCATTTAAGTACTGGACGTGTAATCACGTTAAAATCTAGAAGTTACTCTAAATTAATCCTATTTGTAATTTATGTAATAAGAAGTCAAAAATGTTTTAGAATCTGAATGGCAAATTATTACTTGCGATAAATTACTTAGAATTATATTAATATCTACAAAATGGGTGCCAGTTTTTTCATTGTATGACATTGATTATGAGCATATGGAGACAATATATGTGACCAGGAGTAAATTCTATGAACTGACATAATTTGTATTAAATGGAGAATGAAAACAAGCTGGATTGGTGGTATTAGAAATGAAATTTTTTGAGTATTTTAGTGCTTAGCAATTAAAGAATTACCGCGTTCGAAACAAGCTTGAAGTATCATTTCCTAAGAGGATTGACCAAGCGAATGTTAATTTTTATGGATTTCTGTTATTCAACTGATAGTATTTATATTAAATTTTCATTTACACTTATTGAAATAGTGGCATAGATTATTATGCTTATATTAACAGTTAATTTACAAAGTAGAATTATCGCGGAAATCTGAGTTTTACATGAAGAGGACACAAGATCGAAAGCACACAAAGTCTATAATTTAATGAAGTGAAAAAATTGGCATTAGTTGAACGGTGAAGTTTCAGGTTAAATACATGATAAAAAACCTTAATTAACTTGCTATACGAGATTCGAAATGACAGGTACAAAATATTTTCATGCAAAAAACTCCCGTTTTGAAATCATTCAAAATACTTAAATTATATCGGCCCTTTCAACCTCCTCAATTTTGTAATAATTTATTTACGATTTTGAGTCGCCTATATAATACTGATGGAATAATTTCTCATTGCTTACGCTTTCATGCGTGTCTCGATTAAGTAATGATATATCTTTACATAATTAATATTTGGGGGTCGTAACCGTTCCGTAGCCTCTCAATTTAGAATCTAAGTCAATCATAAAAAGTGTTATTTAAAAACGTTAGCGACCATAAAACTAATGATTTAATTGATGAATAAATATGTAAATTTCTGACTCGTTTTGAATTATTCTAAGGTGCGATCTTGTAACATTTTTGAATTGGACAGTATGATGCTAAACCCATTGTCTCTATATCTCACCGAATTTTAGAGCCTATGTTCGTCCCTAGACCACGGGTTTAGTTTATTTTAAACGTGATTTTGAACATTATGGATCTGAACATCTTTCATAGAATTAGTATTTACTTGATATATAACCGTAAGTAAGAATTAATTTTGAATTTGTGGGACTCGTCTTCGCCTAACGCATGATCGCATACGCCATTTTGATTATGATTTACATTCCGACGTGTACACTCTTACCACAACATTCTTCCCAAATAAACGTGTTCCGTGCGAGACGTCTGTTTTCTCTATAGCTGGGCTGTAGCTTAGCTAGTTCTAGGAGGCTAGCTAAATACTGGAGAATCTGCCACAGAAATTTCTGAGTCAATCAAGGCTTTACTAGTGTAGTAATACGCTACAGATTCCATGTGCTCATTTTGCTCAATATTTCCGTGACATATCCCAAAGAGTCCACCACTTAACCTAATTTGATTACCATAAAAGGAGATTTTCTGTCTAGTAGTGGTTATATCTATCGAATCGTCTCAATCGCAACTAAGTGGAGAGGGGGTCCTCACTAACTTGTTAATTTAGGTCTATTGAGAAATACGAAATTTATATCACCAAATTAGCCTCTAAATTAGCCAACTCAGTTCGTAAACGGGATTAAACGAATTCTAATAATTTACTCAAGTTTATGCAAAGCAATGATAACGTAACTAGTCAGGTTTGATAATTTGTATGAACGATTAGCAGTAAATCATTAACTTTTCTTGAATTAATTACTTTATCCAAAAGGAAGAACTCTGAATTCACCCTCCCCCCCCCCCCCCCCCCCCCCCTCCCACTTTACAGAAAATGAAAGACTTAATTACTGGGACTTCGATCCTAATATAACATTTTTTGGCTATTATTTCCAATTGCCAAATTACACGAAATAGCTTTCTTTACAGCTGATTTATTTCCATTTATCGACATTGCCACAAAAGGTTATAAATTTTGTATAAGTGGCTAATATATAAGCGCGATGAAAACATCTGTTCGGTCCCATAGCAGCGAAGTCATTTTGAACAAAGATGATCTCAAGCAAACCTGAGCACTGAGATTAAGAGAGCGAGTGAACACGTAAGTACATTGGGCAAGTGGCCTTGTGCCCCATTGAGACATGTCGAATGGTTTTCAACCTGTAATTAAATTTGTTCCATTTAACTGGCATAATGCATTCTATACTTATTTAGTATTTAAAATAAAAGTAGCACGAAAATGAATTTCAAGAACAAATATAGCATTCTTAAACTCCTAATTTTCAGTTGATTCCGAAACCAAGCGCTTTTAACCTCTTTATTATTAAAATGGAGGTTCATTGTGAAATTTGAAACATGTCATTTTATTTCTGATGTCACTATTATTATATCGACATATATGACTATCGAACTTTGGATGAACATGTAAATTTAAATACGATTTGTCATCATGAACATTATTATCTATTTGTTCTTTTGTTCCGTAACCAAATGAAACTATTGTGAAATAAGGGGACGCGCGTCATTAAAATTCAAATCACTTTAAAACACGCCTCATCTGTAAATAAGTCTTAGAATATTTCAAGCTTGCATAGTTTAAAATGGGGACAAATAACAATCTATGCTTAAGAACAGCAATTCAGAACTTAAATCCCATATTTTCGGTCATGTTTTTCTCATTGAAATTAAAGTTGAATGCTCTCTTCATGTCAAAATAATTTGTCAAAAATATCAAGAAAAAATGGTTCACAGTCGATAACTTTAAACATCGCACATAAATGAACCTGCTGAGTAAACAGTATTTCTTATAAATAATTAATAAAACATCAAGCAAAATATTGCTATAAGTTACATTTACCTTGTAAGAAACCATTTCACAAGTTTTTGGAGTCACTGGATCTCGTCGGTAGGTTTGAGCTCTCGGTACCGAGCTACCGCGTATGGAAGCAGTTAAGGATAAAACAAATAAAAATTGTGTATTTTATATCGGGACAATCGGTATAGGTCTATCTCGATCAAGTGACTCTTATTCATTCCGACATTATCTTAATTCAAAATGACATCAAGCCACTCAATCTCTTACTTATCAATCCTGTCCTACATAGTAAATAATAAAGTTATATATAAAAGTTTTAGAACAATTATATAAAACGATCTTTTAGTCTAAGCTTTGCTCATGATAGGACTAGCTATTGATGTAAAAAAAAAAACAAATAACAATTTTTAAGAGGATATCTTTTAGCTGTGTTCCATATCGATATCGCCTTTTGCATTCACAAATGCAGTTGATTGACGGTTTTCCAGGTGGTTTAGAAGTTACAATGAGTAGGAGATTGGTATTTGGTATTGAAGCAACTGCATAATCACTGGAAGGTCAAAGAGAATAATGAGACTCACAAAATTGGTGACAGCGAACAAAAGGATTAATGAAGCTTACATATTTCCACATTTAGGACAGTAAGTTCCAGTGTGCATTTTTGGCTTAGGCCCTCCACCGTATGTTCCTTGTTGAACACTTTTCGCATGGGCCTCTTTATTTAAGTAGAAAATACTATGCCTCTGAGTGCATGCATCCAGGGGCTGCGTACAGTCGTGCAAGAATTCCGTCAACTGGGGCATTCGCTGTCTTACAGCATCGCACATCACTTCACATGCCTGACGACCAATCTGATTATTACTATGTACAGCAGCGTGACATCTCATCTGTACTATTCGCTGAACACATCTCAGTAGGGTTCCAGGGATGGTATTCACTTTGCGAGACGTGGAAGCCTTCGTAGCATTAACTCCAGTTGCATTTACAAGTGTTACATTATTGGAGTATATTTGGATGAGTTCTCCAGATGGGCTTATCGCGTCCGTTAAGTCAATAACATCAAGCGTCTCATTGGTGGAAGTGTTCAGATAAACTGATGGAAGCGGTGTGGTTGCTGATGGCGGCGGATTTAAATTAGGTTCATTCACATAACATGTCTTGAGCTCGGCAAAAGCTTGCTGCTGAATAAGCCAGGGATCTTCAGGGTCCTCAAATACATAATTCTTTTGGGAATAGAATTGAGCAGTTTCATAGAAGAATGGAAGTTCTGGGCTTCCTCCATTCTCTTCACCACCTGCGCTTTCTCTTGATTCAAATTTTTGAGGCGATTCAGCAATTGGCGAAGGAAGAGGAGGAGGATCAGTGAATGAGGATACTTGTGGAGGTTCAAATGGTTTTAAAATTTCGTAATCACGATTGTTTCCTAAACCGCTAGTTTTAGACGGAAGAGGGTAATCGATATCACCATACTGTGGATAGCTAAATTGTTCGCTCCCATCTTTGACGCCATAGGGCGAATTGTCCGATTGCGACTTGAAATCATTGAAATTTGTAAACTCGCTCTGAACTGAAGGCAGAGCCTCCCACATCCCTAATTAATTTCAAATCAAAACATCATTAATTGTTTTTCCAATGGACTACTCAAGTTAAAAGACGGTTTACATTCCAGTTCAAAGTAACCACTCATTATACTTCACTGATTAATTTAACTACTTCGTATTAATGCTTATAATACATAATTAAAAATATCAATTTGATTCATTAACGTACCATGCACAGCAGGTTCAGGACCAAGTAGCCACCAGGAAGTTAAGAGCCTAAAACGTGATTCAAAATAGTAAATTTTAATTAAATTTATATTTATTAAAGCAAAATAAGAATTGGGGGGGGGGAGGATAGTGAAGATAAAATGGGCTAAAACATCTGATAATAAAACGCAAAGTAGCAAATAGAAGAGTCGATAAATGTGGGGAAGGACTTGTATATATTTATATATATTGATAATAAAGAGCTTACATCATAAATTCATAAATGATTTTGCCCGCAAGTTTGAGTAGAAACGCAACAGGCTGAAAGAGGTAAAACAAGGTGGTAATGGGCAAGTTTTGTGGCGTATGTAACAGTACGAAGTGCCCATTGTAGGTCAAATAATCTGGGTTAGATCGATTTAATATGAAATTCGAATATGATGCTAGACAGGTGATCGCGTGACATATAGATTAAGTTAAACCAATTAACTTTCCATTTCATCCTTTAAAAGGGGGATATTTCTAAAAAGACTGAGTCAGATTATTAAAGATATTTCACCTGGGACTAACTTTACTCAAGTTTTACTGAATTATTACATTGCAAGCAAAAAGCCCGCCGCTTCTGTGGAATGGAAAGCAAATTTAACCCCTAGCAACACCAGAGGCAATCACGGAAGCACTTGCAAACCTGTAGATGAACACGGCTTAGTGGCGGATAGTCATGGCGTGAAATTCACCCAACCAGAAACTCTTCCGGTTTGAAAAGACGTTTGCATTTTTCCTAGTCTATATGAGTTCCTTTAATATATGCCAATTTAGACAATTCTTCAAAACTAGTAAGTATAACTAAATGCAACTGCTCAATGCAAATCCAATTTGTTGATATCATTTGCCCCGAAATTGAATCTTGTTTTCCTTTTTAAACCATGAATTGATTTTATGTTATATTGTAGCATTTAAACTCACAGAAAATAACCTTGAGGCAAAGTTAAGATCAGGCGTAACTGCTTCAATGCAGATGGCTTGAAAATCGTAAATTTCATGCCTAAAATAAAATTTTAATTCGAGTATTATATATGAGTAACTTGAAGACAAAAAATAGCAACAAAATTTTCGTTTACTCTGTCATTATATTTTCAGCAATAAGTGCTTCCATTAAAGCGCAATCCAGCTCTTTAACATTTTGACTGACCTATAATTAAGAATCATGATTGAATATTACTTGCCTGCCGCAACCAGTAAATTTAAACAAGGACCAAATAGCATACCGCTTTTTCACCGTGAGTTGAGAGGATAATCTGGCCTGCAGTGGTGGTCACGAAACACTGCATTCCAGTATCATTACACTTGATGCAATCAATTGATTCACATCCATTGGCAATCGAGTCGAATAGGTCCATGAACTTCTGATAATTCAATTGGATTCCCGCTATTCCCATAACAACTGCTTCCGAAGAAGGATTGCTTATTACTCCCGTAACAATCAACGGAACAGTTAGGTTGTTTTCCATGTAAGTTCTGTAAACTAATAAGAGTCATTAATCAACAATTATGTTGTTTAAGTGAGCACATACCCTGTTTTTGTGGTGGTCTAAACACCAGCATTTTCATATTTTCATAGAATGTTGTCTGAAGTACTGTAGATTTGTAGATTGGCCCCTCGGCGCCTTCATTAATTTCATCCAAAAATGTTCTAAATAATACCCAAACTTAATAAGAGTCATGTAACTCAATTTCGTTTAAATACAATTTTTATCAAACTTGCTCAAAGACAGCTTCAGAGTAGTTATAATATCGAAGGAAGCCCGATTGATGTACGCTGAAAACTTGCTCGATATCAAATCTACAAGCAAAGTATTCGATATAAGAACAAAAACGAACTTTCTGATAGCTTGATGATTTGTCATTTTTCTCCAGTAATCGTAAATATTGGCTGTCGCTCTGGCATCCATGAAAATTCTTCCAACATGATCCCAATCACCTTTAGAGAGAGATACAGAGGCGCTGTTTATCTTAGCGGGTGGATTGAAATTTCATTAAAACAAAGCTACTCTACAAATGACTTACAATCATTTTCCTCTCGAACCATTTTATCTGTGACAGCATTTCTTAAGGCACAGAGAGGATCATCCAAGAATACTGTCAGCTGCTGCCGTTGGAATTTGCAAAATGGTCTATTCGAATAAAAGAATTTGTTGAGACAACAATCGAACAACCATGCAATGTTAAAAATTCAGTTGTGAAAGAGACTCACATCGCGGTTAACATTGATCCATAATAAAGACTATCATCACGATCACAGGATTCGGCAGGATTTTTGAATTGGGGATTGAGAACTCTAGTTTCAGCAGCTAAAATTAAACATGAATAGATTGGCTCGAGCGAATTGTTCAAAACTCAATTTATGGAAATATTTACATATTTCTTCATAAAGGTTTTGAGATGAATATTCGTGGGAATAGACACGAGACTATGTTCTTACATTTTATCCGCAATCTTTCAACCCATTATTTATAAAGTCATAAAATCCAATCTTTTCATATAATCCTTTTATGCTGTTATTTAACGATTTTCACCTAGTGTGATTCTTGGTATTTGGCTTATTTTTACTATATAAGTAAGTAAATACTAGTAAATAATAAATAGAGGAAATACAACGCGCTGTGTTTTTGCCTATTCAAATTAAGATAAAAATCCCACCTCGAACATTGCCGTGGCGCCAAAATGTGGTGGTATCGTATTTGGGCACAGGAAACCCACGGTTGACTCCATTAACCCATCTCACGGCAAGACCAAACACGAATGGCGTGTCAGGAAGAGGTGCAGTGAAAACTTTCTTTGTTATTGGTAGACCAGAAAGCTAAATGGATCCACAAAAACAGATTATGACACCTATCATTAGCTTGGATATGAACTAGTAGTTAAGTTGATTGGCTCTGGCTAACTCTAGTTAAATCTCAGTGGACGAACTGTGGTAAAAAACCATTTCTAATTTAATCTACCTTCTCTTGGCTCTAATGAAGCACAAATAACTCGAGGTGAATTGATCAGGGTTTCAAGTCAATCAAATATTCGCTAATCTCTGAGAAACATAGAACTTAATTTAACCTGGAATCTTGAGTCAAATCATGACCTCTTAACTTAACTTTGAGCTACCAGAACAGTAAAAAGCTGATCTTTACTCATCATGTGAATTGGCCTGCTCAAAATAGCTCGAATGCCAATGAAATTTTAGTACGATTTCTACAGCTATATCAACTCCAAAGCCACAAACATCGTCAAACCAAACACTCCAATGCGAAAATACCCCATAGTCTGATTAATGTTTTGAGGACAGTAAAGCACCTAAAATAACGTGATTTTAAGAAAAACCCGTGTCTTCAAGTTTCACTCATCTCCACTTCTAACGTTTCTTTAGATCAAAAAGAGTAAGAGAAAGAAGACATCAGGCTGAAACTTACGAAATCCTCGGGCGTTTCGATGCTTGTGAAAATGGTCGAAGCGGTAGATCGATCAATCATTAGTCTCCTAAGCTAAAAAATATTGGAAAGGTGGTCATTGAGAACATGAACAATTATCTAATTCCCCAACGCAAATCTCACCGAAGAGTTGTAATTTGGAAGAGCGGTATGCTGAAATGGATATAATAATAATCAAATGGTGAACCGTATCGAATGCAATCACTTTTAATTAAACAATTTTAACTAACTGGGTTGAGTGTAAAATCGATCGGCTGTTCTACCTCATCCAAATCCACATGACGATAATATCGTTTTAATTGTGTTCCATGCTAAAGGAAAGTCAATTCTTATCATCACATGACAAATATTACCAAAGGCCGATATTCTGGGTGAAAAAGTATGAATCCATTGTTTGTTACTCCAAAGAAATAAGAAAGCGGTCCACTCTAAAGAGAAATACACTGGTGAAGCTAGAAATTAGATTTATATTATGACTTAATCGATTATCCTACAAAACGCTTTGTATTTAAATAAAGGATTTGACGAATTATAACGTAGAATACTGAAAGCATAAACGAATAACCTTCCAGCTCCTAAGTGCATCTTGAAATTCCTCCATCGGAATGTCCAGACCAGTGACTCCTAGCAAGATTCCTTTATTATATTCAATCTGGAAAAATCAAGAAAAGGGCTTAAGATCAATTCATTTTAAACTCGAAATATGAACTGATACTTACGCTTGCATTAGTTTTGTTGTAAGCTGCCCTCGATAACGTTATAAAGAACTGATTCTCTTTTGTCTTAAAGAGTTTCTCAGGTAGCTAAAGAAATCGAATTTTAAAAGTGGATAAATAATCTCGTTCAAATCAGAAGAACCAGTATGAATTTTATAAAACCGACATCTAGGTACTTTGATGAGATGATTAACAATAATTAGTAATGCGGATTAACATTATAAATTTTCCATATTTGTAAAGTGTAAAGTGGGGTGGGCGATAGACTTACCTCCACGTGGTGCACCCTGGGCAACGTATACTCATACGGCAAAAAAGTCTATTAACTGGCAGTTGACCTCTGACCTCAAACTGCCATGACTCACTTAATGTCATATTCGACCACTTCCAAAGTACTCACCTCACTTTTTTTCCACCTCTGTGTCTGTTTCTTTTACATCTTTGAAACACTCTTCTCTTCCCTCCCCTCTGTGAATCCTGAAGTCAACTAAAGGGCTAATGATAACTATCATAAATAAATATTTGTAAAGTAGTGATATTGTAAGCCAACAGACACGGTTCTACTAAGCATGCAATTTCACCAACCCAAAGCGTAAACATGCACGGAGCGTGTATCCGTGAGAAGATTGAACACCGAATTTAATCATTGTGATTATGTTTCCACTTCTCTGCTTCTTGGTCCATCTTTCATAGCCATTTAGATATTTAATTCTTTTATATCACCTTGCATAATCTGTGGAGATATCTCAACTAAATTATTCATTTAAACCACGCTTCTTACATTATGCTGGTACCTCTAATCTGATCGGCTCAACTGTCCGGGTACCCTCCATTCACCAGTAGGATTTGATCTTGTCCTCAATCGAGATGGTACTACTCAAAGCCAGTCTAACAACCACCCAAATATGAATCAATACATTCTTAAATTTTTAGACTGCTGAAAATTATAGCGCAATCAAAGATCATTTGCATAATTAACTAATTACCGTATAGGAACTGCCTGATTCAAACTCATCGTCCTGCATAACGTCCTCAATCAATGTAGCATTCTCCACCATTGTCATATTCTAAGCAGTGACAAAAGAATTAATTATATTCCAGATTGTATGCCTGCATTTTTCAATGAATAAAGACGCACAGGGGCGGGTTCGGGTGGCCGGGTAAAGTTTTCAGGTGTGAGTTTCTAAAATATGTATAAATTTGTAAATTTAATCCTCCAATTTCTACAATAAAGCCAACATGGTTAAGTATCTGTAAAACTAATAATTGCTCGCATTAGTGAAAATCCAATTCAGGTGTTCCGAAGAATTAAGATTTTTTGCTATAAATATTAACATTTAAACTCTATTGGCTAATTAGTTTAAATTAGAAATGATTTGTGGAAAGAGACTGTTATAATCTTGAAATTTTTACCATTACATCAAATGGAACACAACTTACCATCAGATTGAGCTGCTGTTTGGTTACACCACTCCAACGGACAAAGGAATCATCCAAAATAGCATTCGATCTGGCCAAAATGTCTATATATTTCTGAGAGAAGATTTAAAAAATTAAAATTCTCCCTTATTAATCTAGCAATTATATGCCGCAAAGTCAAAACTTACTAAAACATTTTCTTTAACGTCAGCCAAATTAGCTATGTTGGCGTCCATTCCTGTAGATAATAAAACATTTACCTTTAACCTCCATTTTAAAAAATTGATATTTTTGAAACCTTTGCAAGTTTCACTATCGACATTACGCCTTGTTTACAAAGGAACACCCGTATGGGACACGTCATCGCCTAACGCGTGATCGCTTGGGCTCACAACCAATGACCAATCAGAAGCCTTCGTTTGTCTAAGCGGATCCGCCATGTTGATTAAGGCTAACCTTACGGCGTGTACACTTCTACCACGACATACTTCCTAAATAAACGTATTCCGTGAGACACTTCTCTTCCTCTACAGCTTGTCTGTAGCTTAGCTAGTTCTGGAAGTCTAGCTAGTTATAGGAGAATCTGCTATAGAGATTTCTGTGTCAGTCAAAGCTTTACTAGTGTAGCAATCCGCTACACTCGGGCACCATAAAAATTGGCCCAAAATGCAAATTGTTCAATTCAATGATCATTCTTTTAGTGGACAACATATTTTAAGTTTACAAAATAAATTTTTTTCAAGTTTTATTTTGGATAGAACATACCACGATTCCTACAAGCAATTCTATGAGTTATGCTCTCGTCAGATGATTGCTGACCAAGAAGAAATGTGAAAACACGAACGTTTTTCTGAAAGTAGAAGCGAAAGCGATATTTTCTCATTGATAAGCAACAGAAATCTTAATTTAAGTTTAACCCTTGCAGTGTGATGCATGCAGTAAAAGTTAGTACTCACTTACCTCAGGATTATATTTTTCGAACAAATCGGCATAATCATCGGGTACGCCATCAGTTATCAAAATAATCATCTTGTTACAGCGATTAATTTTAGTTCCATTAGCTGACTAAAAGTAATAAAGGATACATTTTAGAGTTGTGAAAATCAAACTACAAAAATAGATCAGCATCTAATAGATGTAGAGATCGCGATCTTAGTAGCACACCCGAAGGCACGTGATGATGAATACCTGGGAAGTACAATTTAAGCCTATCAATCTCAGACATTGAGTTTTTAACTGTAGGGAGAATTGATCACGTATTTAACTGGTCCACCAATTAAAACAATTAATTTAATTGACATTAATTATAATATTGACGTGATAGTTGCTTGGACAACTTCCCACTATCTTATTTATTACATAAGCATTGGGCATATAAAAGTCGATATGATTATTTACAACATTAAGTAGCGTAAATGCTTCCTTTAGAGCAGCACGGAAATTGGAGGTTCCATTCGGCATATGGTCAATGAATCCTCGTACTATTCTCTAAAAAATAAACAAATTAAATTATATTCCATGCATAAAATGAAGGTAGTTGTTATAACTAACAAGACTGTTTTAGACTATAGGAAGTCACAAATCCTATGACCCAAAAAACACGTAACTGCCCTATGCGGAATAACGACTTTTATACTTAAAAAATATGCCATTTTTAAATAAAAAACCATAGATTATTAATTTAAAGTTTCTTCATTAGAAGTTATTCATGTTTATTCTCCAGAATTATTAATAAAAGCATTAACTTACATCCTTGTTTGGTCGAGTAGCTTGAATCAGGCGATCCTTTATATATTCTTCAGCGAATTTTATGGTTTCTGAAAACTTAAGCAAAAAAAGAGATTAAAATTCTACTGAAAATAAATTATTTTTTCTATTTACTCCTTTTACTTTTAACTAATTGAACTGTTCAGCGTGTTTGAATCATTTCGTGGTGGAGTGCTAATTTACTTCTGCATTAACAGGGCAATAGTAATTACTGGATTTTGGCTAAAAATGGCATGTTGTTATCAAGGACAACCTACATAGATGACATTGAAAAAGTCATCATCAGTCAGAGTGTTTAGGAGTTCTGAGATTGTGGCATTGCAGATTGTATTACGTCGGCCCTTCATACTTCCACTCTTGTCAGCGAGAATAACCATTTCAATTGGGTAAGAGGCTGCACCAACGTACCTACAAAAATTGAAATAGACTTAGAAGAATCTAAAATATTACATATATTTCAGTCAAATCCCAAGATTACGAAAGCGATGCGTTCTCTTAAACTTGAAGTACAATCCGCTCCCCCCCCCCACCACCACCAACCGTTTCCGAAACTATTCTTTAATCACTTTCTATTCGCAAATACGTTTGTTTTTCATCCACAAAGCCCCAATGATGTCTTGATGTATCTAGGACTTAAACTTCTACCTGTCAGATCCAGACGAGCTTAATAACGCACCTTTTAATCGAAACTGTTCCGTTTAGTTTAAAAATGCCACACAGTCAAACTCACGGGCGTCCATGCCCAAGTGACCCCTATAAACTGTCTTTATATTCCCCACTCACATACACGCTGAAGCACTCATCTCTTATCTGTTTGTACACTTTTCTCTCATCCCCTCTCGCTCACTCCCTCAAATCCCCACTATAATTGTTCAGCACACTTCAACCTACACGACTCATTGCTTTCGATTATTTGGTACTGTTGTTTGCCGTTGTAAATTACAAGCAACAGGCCAAACTGTAAATACCTACGCTTGGTTTAATAGGTCCCTCACAATCACCTTAAAGTGATGATATTAACGGGAAATATGTATTCGATCGACTCATTCTAAACCACCAACAGGAAGTGTGAATACATGTGGGCAAAACCAACGACTACCTAACTTTCCTGGTTTGAACGCTGAGACCTTAACTTACTCATTTGTATAAAAGGTAGAAGTGTATTTAACTTTTTCCAACATTTTTTTCAAAGTTTTTTGTTCTCAATAGATAAAAAATAGATGAAAATAGATAAGTGATAAAGATAGCTTTATTCTGGACATCAAAGCAATCATTATTTGAAAGCCGGCTGATAGGAAAATGATCGAAATAGAAAACTTTATAATTGACTGAACTATTTGTTACTTCTTGGGGAGCGAACAATTGATGAATATTTTAAAAATTAGATTTCGTCTTACCAAGCAGTTGAACGACAATCAAAGAAATCCAATTGGAGGTCTGCCAATTGTACTTCCCACATTGCTCCTGCAATACAGCCAATCCAAGTGTGAACATTTAATGAGAATCGCTAATGAGCAATCTGGTATGCACTTGATCTTACCAGGATAGAACTTGAGAAATCCGGTGGAACTGCAAAAATACTGCCATTTTAGTAGGGGATCTTCCTTGAGATTCTTCTTGAATACATCGTCAAGATGATGCGTCCAGTTTCCAACTGTTCGAATCTCTTTAGCTACATCAAATAAATACATGTGTAGAAAGCATTCCCTTTTGTTTAATAACTGTGTTGACTGTTCAGAAATGAGAACCTTCCATTTAACAACAATTGTCGACATTTTTTGTAGGCTATTTATGTCCCTATTTAAATTGGGCGTAAAAATTGACCATTGTGCATTGAATGAGATTAGGAGACTTGTCATGAGTGATGTGCAAACAGTACATAGGCGCATAATAAAACGTTTCAGCTAATAAAGTTGAAGGAGTTGGGTGCTTTCACCACCTCACTTTAAGGCGCAACTCCTAAAATAAAGCAGCGTTTTCGCTTTGCCATTAGCAATGGCTTGAAGGGCTTATTTTTAACTTACAGAGATCATATACATTTGTTGGAACATGAGCTGCAGACATGTTCCTGCTGATGTAAAAGTTGCCAAACATCGGATCGGATTCAAGTGGAAGAAATTGTGATTCGTTGCATGGGGTAATTACGGTTCCATTTTCATCAGGTGGATGAGGAAATAGGCTCACTGACTTGGCTCGAATGTAGCACTGAATGCAAACAAGATTTACTTTGTAAAAAATACCGCTCTTAGAAATCAAAATTCAAGACGGAAAATCGAGGAAAATGTACCTCATCATGATCCAAAGATTCTTGCAGTTTAAATTCCTCCTCAATACTATTCTTCAATTTCTACAAATTATGCAGTAATTAAATGTATTTCTTGACGAGTGAATTCTAATTATAATGTGATATCAAAGTATTTGGCATATTTTCAAGAACTAATGAAAATAGCAATAACGAATAAAAAGCTTTGAGAATGTTTACAGAAGTAAATAAATGTTAAATTCTACTTCTTTTCTGGAAAGAGTTGTTGAAATGTACCTCAAGTGCCCTCTCTTTTTTCCTGATCATTTGAGTTAGCTCTGAAACTGCGTCATCAATCAACTTCCTCGCATAGCTATCCGTCATTTCCTGAACTCCAAACAAGGGTCCGCTGTACATCTAAATTTATAATAGATTAGGGAAATTCATTAAATTCCCTTACTTTGCTAAGCTGTTCTGTTCCCATAATTTCTCGCATTGAGTTGAAAGATTGATATAATTGCTGGGACCAGTTTTCAACCCTAGAAATGTGTCAACGTGTCAGATTCAACTTACGTTCTTTCAAGCGAAACTGAAGCCTGAACAGCAGTGAACCCAATTGTGATAAACCAGGAGACTAGAAGGATTGGACGGATGTTAGCTGGTGTCATTATTAGGGATAATTAAGTGGAATACCCTGCCCTGCAAGAGTGAGTCGACTAAAGCATTTTTCTACCAGCGTCGTATAATTTCACCGCTACCATCGACCACTGAGGCAAGCCAATGAGAGGGATGAGAGCAGAGGATACTGGGAATTTCGTTGACCAATCAGCTCACGGCAAATTCCAACTACTTATGAACATGAGGTAGCGCTATCATCGCGCAATTTTGACTACATGTGTAATGGATATGGAGTGAGATCTGTATAGTATACTACTGGATGGATTTAATAAGTAGCTATATAATTTGTCTACTAAACTCAAGGCAGATATAACCAATCTGAAGAGCACTCAGAGTTCGATGAGTCGTGATGGAATAAATTATTTATTTGAGTATATTTCTGAAATATATTCCTCCTTTGTCTTAATTTTGGGTGGGCACATACAGATATTGTGCTATCGTAAAAGGCTTTGATAAAATATTTCCTTAAAGCATAAATAGTTGGTCTAATCGTCTTTCCTATCCAAATTTATAACGTCTTCTTCCTACTATCGCTTTAGTAGGTTGCATTTTGGCTTAATTGAGTCTAGAAATACTGGGAAAAAATTTTTCCAACCATTTAAAATAAAATTTGACTTCAAGTCAAAACTAATATTTTTATCTATGTGCAAAAAAACGTGATAGGTGGTAATTAACCAAAAGGAGATAATAAGACGATATCACCTAACTGTAAACAATGGCTCTTGATACGGTTCGATAAATGCAATTATCGGACTGTCTTATTTTAACTAGAATGGCAACTGTACTAAGGTGCTATTCAAAGATATTGATTATCAACAATAACTTTTAAATCGTTTCGATATCAGTTGTGAAAATAGTAAGTAATACAATATTTAATGCATTCAAAAAATTGGAATCCACTGTTGTCCTGTTAAAGATTTGTTTGGTGTTTGAAAACACTCTTCCCACGGAGAAGCAACTTAAGAATCACTTGTATTTATAGAGATATAAATTATTAGAATTGTTTACCACAGAGTTACAGTGAGTAAGGAATGTGGCAAAAATTAGAAAGTATTTTCATTTTACGTCGATTCTGAGATTTAAACCACTATCTTCGCAATCAGAGCTAATTTAAAAAAGTATTTGCATCGCTGCTTCATTTACTGCTATTGCTTAACTTGACTTCCTATGTTATTTTTACCATAGTTTAATTTGAGTCACAGTAATATTCATGAAGGTGCTAATTCTGTGATTTCTGCTTCATTCGATCAAATTGGCTCTTTCAGTAGTTAATGTCAGGTTTCAAAATTGATATTCTATTAGTGAATTGGACAAGAATAGCCATCAATTTTTTATTTAGATTATGACTATTACATTTCCGCGTCATAGCACCAGCATGAAAGTGACAAATCGAAGAATCTGTATGAATGCGATGAGAAGAAGACCACATGCAGCAGCGACAGACAACAATTTCAGTAACTCTGGATTTGAGGTTTCAAAGAGTCTGACGAATTTGATGGCCTTTGTTGGCTGACTTATGTTAACTCGACCCATGCTCTCTAAGAACGATTCTGGACAGTTCTTTCCCATTCTTGCCGGACAATCTTCCATCTAAGGGGGAAAATGGTTTGTTAACAAATATTCATAGAATTGCGCAAGTAGTAAATAAGATCTGTTTTACGATAGGCTGTGACCTTGATGATATATTAATTCGTTGCAATGTAGTTAAACAGTTCTGCTGACCAGAGGTTAGCTTAATAATAGTGCTCAAATCCAATGCTTGACGCTTGGCCATCAATCTTTATATTTCCATAAGCTCACCTATTTCATAAGACTTCAAACATTTATTTCATTTTCTTTATGTCGTGTTAATCGCCCTTATAACTTTCATCATCATCATCATCGTCGTCGTAAATTATTCAATTTCATACTTTTTCAACTGGTTAAGTCTGAAGTTAACCTACCAAATTAGGGAAACCCAGATGAAAGGCGATTGAAAGAGCTTTGCTCATACTATCTACACGCCCTACTAAAACGAAGATGGAAATGGGGTAATTACTGAAGGAAAATTATAACCATGTAGCATTTGCACGACGAAGATTAAATGATCGTTTTTCGGTGATCATGCACAATTTGTATGGCGTTGCAGTGTCCTATAGGGGAGGGGGGGGGGGAATAATTGAAGAGACTCTAGAATGGGAACCTACATTTATTTATTTATATCAAATGGCAGGCGTTTTGATAGTTATCATTAGCCCTTTAGCTGACATCGGTGCTTCACAGAGAGGGGGAGGAACATCAAGGTGACAAACAATCGAGAGGGGGATATAATAATGAGTGACAGATGTAAAAGAGACAGACAGACAGAAAGGCATAGG